ACCGAAAATAGAGTCATTTGGAGCAGAATTGCAAAAGTTATTGAAGTGTTTAGACCACAAAATATTGTCTTCATAATCATGACCCAAATTTCAGGTAGTGTTACAGGTGGGTTGTTGATGATCTTTAGCCTTTATTGTTACTACATTAACCAATATCTGTGTGTAAAATACAAAAAAATACTGATCATGACACCCCAACATCTAGGAACAAAGTGCATATTTTTTCAGATTTTTAGCTCTCTTCCTGTTGTGTCAGGATTTTTCTATGTCAGTAGTTTTCTTTACCACCTGGTAAAGATTACATTCTGTGTAGTGATTACAAGTTAGTTGGCAATCTCAGTGGCAAGTCCAATTCCAACTCCCTATAAATTTCCAAGTCCCAATGAGAATCGGTTTGGTCCAACTATAAGTTTGACATTGTCAGGTGATGTGATTTTGATGTGTAAGTTGTATTTTCTTTCAACTTGTGTATTTTAGATAGCTCCCTTTCAGTGTCCCAAAAATGTGTTGCCCTGGTTTTTGAAAATAGATCAATCAGCACATTGTCACTAAGTACAATGGCAATCACTAAACTTTTACAAAGTTGATAATGGGGCTCCCAAAGATCAAATGTTCTATGATGTATTGGCACAGTGGTTGCGTAACCCAATATATTGACCCACATTCCAACCTAAAACTTTTATGTTGCTTTGAGTACATTGTTCTAGATGGTTTTCAACTTGGTTTGTTACATGATCATCTTGTGCACCTACAATCAATGTATCAACTCATATGCTCAAGGTTCATCAGAGCCCGAGGGGCACTAACAGAGTTATCATAATCACTATGCTTTACAATTGCAACTAATGTTGACTTTTCATAAAACTCTTCTTGGAGAATATATCTGTCAGCTGAAGTCTATAAAATTATGCTTTTATAGAGCTCAGACTACACAAACTCACTATAATTTGAGTAATCAAGCTGGGTGGGCTTTGTTTTGATAAAGTCAAGAATCTTTACGGAGGTAAATTCGAGCCCAAAGTTAGTTGTTGTGTATTTACTAGAAGAACTAAAAAGAAAAGGTACTCACTAGATATTTCAATAATATCTAAGGTCTTCTTTGAATGGGTACAAAGTACTCCTATTCCAGGGCAAGCCGTAAGTTCTACTACTTAATCAAAACAAGAAAAAGACTGGCTTTATCTTTTATTCTATAAGAAGATCTGAGAACTATGTTAGACAGTGACTATTTAATGTAAACTTGCTGATCTTGATGACAATTAAGAACAATGGGTTTTTAGATTGAAAGCACTAATCGATAACAACTTGTGCAAAACACAAGAAACAGATAGGGTAGGTTCCAGATACAATAAGGTAAATAAGAATTCTAAGCTAAAAGTGATAGGCTGGGTTTCTAAAATTGTTATAGATGAATGTTTTCTAAAATTGATTGTTTTGTAAGGTATAAGATGATCTCTTACTATTGGTGCGAGATGATAGTCCTTTTATATCGATTCCTAAGGACTTCGCTGAGGTTGATGAGGGTTTTCCTCAGTTAATTTTGATGCAGGCTTGGTCCAGGGTTCTCTTCTGAACTAGACAGGTTTTGTTTGAAGTGATATGATCATACTTTGATCATGTTTGCTTGTTTTCAAGGGTTCAAGTTGAATTCTAATTATGACCCTTAATATGCCACGTTAGAGGACCCTTCGGATCTTTTGGTAATATCTCAATTAGTCCGTTCTAGTCTGATTATTGCAAATCAGTCTGGTTATTAATAGTTTTGTTTCAGGCTTGTTCCTGGCTCATGTTTGGAAACATGTAGTCAGGGTATGTATTATGTTGACTCTTGAAACTGGAGTCGGAGATGTCTGTTTTTCTTTGAAGGCGATGTTTGAAGGGTTCTTTCAAAGATAAGATGAAACGAAAAGAGGAATATATGTAGTTTTGTTTTTTATACGGAGCTTGTCTTCCTTAGGAGTATGTCATAATACTCTCTAGGTTTACAATATCTCTCAACGATAAGGCTAAAACCTTAGATGGTGGTTTTAATTGGTAGGTTTTTGACAAAGGAGAAAAGATGAGGGACTTCAACCATGCATGAAGGACAGATGGGAGCACTGGCCATCTCATAGACGTTCATCTCTTGATATGTTCAAGGTACAGGCCTTAAGATGTGGGCAAAGGAATATCTGTTTTACATTGCAAGAATGAGGCAAAGCATTTGGATTGAGTCACCGAAACGGG